ACTGCACTTCAAATTCATTATTGATATTCATTTGAAGTTTGTTTTGTACAGTAATTGTTTAAACATTGAATTAAACCGTAAATATTGACAATAATTATTGATTTCAATAAATAAAAAATAGTTTTGTTTTTTCGATTAAAGCCTACTTTTAATCATTACAAACAACTCAAACTCGTATATCAATTGAATATCAATTGACATAAATATACAGAATATTAATCAGATTTAATTAATCACTAAATTTAAGCGATAATTTCAAACAATAACTAAAGACTAAATTAATTAATAGATTTCTACGCGAATCGCTGTTTACGTCCATTTGTCGGGTAGGAAGAAGTCCTCCTGTTGTTTGTAGTGTCTGTGAGCGAACCATTCATTCACATTCACGTCCGGGAGGGCGCCCTCGGGTAGTGTACTGTACACGGGATGACCCCATAGAGTGCCCACTTTCCAGTCGGGAACCTCTTTCATCAGCTCTCTCTCCACTTCACGATTGTATCGCATGTGCCGTAAGTACCTGTGGATCAGATAAGACAAATGATAGGCGTTAGCGATGGATGCGATGGTGCAATGCGTGGATCAACTGACGCCCTGTCCCTCTCGGCCTGAATGAGTGGTTCGATGGCATTGTAGTGATCAAACCTCTCGACCGCCAACTTTCCCATATATCGCTTCCTCCGCTTCATATAATACGTGCCGTAAGCTATCATTACGATATGCATTGTCATCAACGACCAGTCTGTCCATCACGTCATCAATGGTCACCATTAGTATCATCGCAATCAACACATCCAACCAATCAATACAAGCGATACATACTTTTGAAGAGCTTCTGCGGCACAACCCGTGCGAAGTTGATGTCAGCGTAACCACCCTTTGGTGGCATCTCTTGTTTGAATCCATTAGCCGTCGCCGAAGACATGATGTCTCTTGTGTTGCGATCGGATCCCAATTGAGTCCACAATTAACTAATTGTTTACAAAAATCCAGTATTTGTTTCGTTCATCAGATTTAGGGATCGTTTCGTTATTGCACTCAAAATGTTTGCCAAAACACAAAAAACGTTTCATTCATTCACTTTTAATTCAAGTTTTTAATTTAATTTAATGTCTTTTAATTTTGTTCATTAATTAAAATAGTTTACAATATTATAAATGTGTAATATTTATATAAAACACTTTGAAAATAATGACAATTTGTACACATTTTAGTTAAATGTTTATAATATTTCATAAAAACCTGTGAAACAATTGGTGGATATAATTGATGTGAAAACCAATGCTTTAGTGAAAACACATTGTTTTGAATGAAATTGTGGTTAAAATTGATTTAAAAGTCCAAATCGTGTGAAGAATGGGTCGTGATACAGCGATAGAGCACTCAATCATTGATTCAATGCATTCAAAGCAATGCATTCATAGTCTCTATGAATAGTCTCTCTAATAGTCAACACAAAACACAAAGCGTTTTGCGCTTTAATAGAGATTATCACTTCACAGCCAATCCATTGACCACTCTTTCACACCACTCTTCACACCACTCTTCGCGTGTCAACCCTTGAGACCAGATGGCGACCAAACGATCGCTCGATAAGGAGTTCGAGTCGGCGGCCAACGGGCACAAGAAGTGCAACAAAACGGCCGAAGAGTTGATCCAAATCGATCACACCTCACACGACGACTACGCATACCATCAGCGGCTGCTGAGGAATGCGTCGCTCGACGGCGGCGACACTGACATCAAGTTCGTTGTGGACAACCAGGAGATCAGCGCTCACAGGCCTGTGATCGACATCTTGAAAGACAAGCGCCATGAGCACTCCTTACGGTAGCTTTCCCTGGCTGTCTACCGAGCTTTCCTATTGCGTCTCCTCCGCTGGCAGAAAGTCTACTCGCCTTGGTGACAGCTCCGCAAGTCTTTTGAGGAGTAAATGTAGATGTCGGGAACCGTTGAGTGCGATCTCATGGTTGGCATCGATTTGGGGACAACGGCTAACAAACTCAAGTTCCACCCATTGGTCGCCTCTTTGGCCCAACACCTCAACGTCCATAAGAACCTCTGTCTGAGCGCACAGACCGTCGATGACTTGTATCAGATCGCGAAGAGCGCCGGCAATAAGGATCTGCTGAAGACGTGCGCAAAATTCATGGACGAGAATCCATACGACGTGAGCGGCGGTGCCCTTAAGCGAGACGTCCAGAGCTCTGATCCGAATAAAGTGCTCATCTATTTGTTAGACAAGAATCGCTTCAATAATTACATTCACTTTCTTTTGCCCGAAACGACCGAAATCTGCTTCACTGTCGACGTGTCGTCCGATCGGACCAATTGGACAGTTGTGCTGAAGAACAACGAGATTTGGTCCAAGTTTTGGAATTGGGTTTACTTCGAAGAGCGACGGATCCGTTACATCCGATTCGTGTTGACCGACACCACAGCCGACCGACCATTCAATATACGGAACATCAAAGACGAACACATTCGCGTCAAACGGGCCAACGTTGACCTCGAGTTCGACAAACTCACCAAATACTTGATCCCAAAACACGATATCATCAAATTCCCCATTCGGGACACCTTTATGCACAAGCTGGTGTTCTTGTTGTGCATATGCATGACGTGTAGGCAACGGCGGTTGTCTCTGTTTCTCTTCGTGATGATGATGGTATTGTATCCGCTGCCTGTGAAGGAGCTCAAGAAAGAGACCCAGACGTGTCTCATCGACTCGTTTCGGCTCCGTTTGTGGGACATCGACAGCAGACACTACGACTTCCAGGTGGAGGTCAAGAACGAAGAAGAAGAGGAGTACACTGTCGTCAAAGACAACACGTCTCCTATATTTAAGTACAAGTCTTCATGGGTTACGGTCCACATGAGAGTGGCCGCTCGCTAGGCTACCCAATTCTAGTGACCGGAGTCTCCGGGCTGGTTACTGGGCCTCAAGCGATAGTAACTGAAACTTACAGGACAACAGGGCTTCTCGTTTGTGATTGTTGTAAAACTAAACCTTTTTAGCATATAATGTGGTTTTGATTTTAGTTGTAAATAATTATCACTTTTATTTCAGACTTGATTTTTCACTCCTTTTTTTAAATACCACTCAAATAATTTAAATGTCATTTTAATTACCATTTTATGCTCTCATTTGATTAAAAGCTAATCCGAATATAAATGAATGAAAAATATATTTTATTTTCAGTTAATGTTTGAAATAATTTTGAATGAAAACAAGAAATTAGTGTTCAATAAATCATTTTAAAAATCGTTTATTTATTTGTCTTTTTATTATAACTTAAAAATACTCATGACTTTTGGCTAACAAAACAAAGAGTGAAAAAGTGTTTTACGATCTCTTCTTATTCCTCATCTTCTGTCGGCTGGACTTTCCGGGCCTTTGTTTGCCGGCCATTGGCTTCGCGTTACGCCTTCGACTGAATTTATTCATCTCTGCAGAACTGCTGGAATCGTTGTATTTCGAGCGCTTCTTCTGTCCGCCGTAACCAAACTTACATAAGAACATCAAAACGAAAAACAAACGGAAGACGAAGAAGCGGCTGAACAACAGGCGTAATAATGATAATGAGAAGAAGACTGGCGGTGAAGGGACGACACTCAGGTCCTTTAGATTTAATAGGACTTTTCCCGTCTTATACTTCTTGAGTCTATCCATGAGTTCTCTCTTCTCTTTCTGTCGTTTGATGAGGACTTCTGTTTGGATTTTTTTGCCGTATTTTTTCAAATCTCTCATCTTTTTGGCCTTTTCTGAGGCATCCTTTGCTGTCTGTCTTCTAACTATATTTTCGCGCACTTTCTTCATGTGGTCATCAGTTTTGGACATTTCGGCGAAATAATCGGTCGGCCTTTTGGTGACCACTTTGAGCGCTCGGAGGCGAGGGATGCCCTCCAGGACTGCGGTCTGCGCTCTCCTATAGAAAAGCATTTCCCGTTTGAAGTCGTTATCGCTTTTATCTAAACTCTCCTTCTCTTCGGCACTGATTTCTCCCTTTTTATTGAGTTTTAAGTCAATGTTTCCAAACATTTGCTGCACTTCTGCCGTCACTTTCGCCGGATTGTCCACCGAATCCAGTCTTTCGATCCAATCCAAGTCGAGCCTCAACTGATCCAACTTGGCTTTGATGGCAGTCTTGTCGTACACGTGCTCTTCGCGAGGCTTAAAGGCCACCAAAGCGTTGAGTCCGGGCTTTAAGTCTCCCCTTTGGAAAGCCTTCTGCAGCTCTTCGTCCGAATCCACCGACAAGTTGTCGTCGGAATCGCTTTCATCCGAAGACATCTTATTCTTCAGATCCAATAATAACTTCTTTCGACCCATTCTTCACACGATTTGGACTTTTAAATCAATTTTAACCACAATTTCATTCAAAACAATGTGTTTTCACTAAAGCATTGGTTTTCACATCAATTATATCCACCAATTGTTTCACAGGTTTTGCTTAAATATTATAAACATTTCACTAAAATGTGTATAAATTGTAATTATTTTAAAAGTGTTTTATATAAATATTACAGATTTATAATATTGTAAACTATTATAATTAATGAACAAAATTAAAAGACATTAAATTAAATTAAAAACTTGAATTAAAAGTGAATGAATGAAACGTTTTTTGTTTTTGGCAAACATTTTGAATGCAATAACGAAACGATCCCTAAATCTGATGAACGAAACAAATACTGGATTTTTGTAAACAATTAGTTAATTGTGGACTCAATTGGGATCCGCTCGCAACACAGGAGATATCATGTCTTCGGCGACCGCTAATGGATTCAAACAAGAGATGCCACCAAAGGGTGGTTACGCTGACATCAACTTCGCACGGGTTGTGCCGCAGAAGCTCTTCAAAAGTATGTATTGATGGGTTGGATGTGTTGATTGCGATGATACTAATGGTGACCATTGATGATGTGATGGACAGACTGGTCGCTGATGACAATGCATATCGTAATGATAGCGTACGGCACGTATTATATGAAGCGGAGGAAGCGATATATGGGAAAGTTGGCGGTCGAGAGGTTTGATCACTACAATGCCATCGAACCACTCATTCAGGCCGAGAGGGACAGGGCGTCAGTTGATCCACACATTGCACCATCGCATCCATCGCTAACGCCTATCATTTGTCTTATCTGATCCACAGGTACTTACGGCACATGCGATACAATCGTGAAGTGGAGAGAGAGCTGATGAAAGAGGTTCCCGACTGGAAAGTGGGCACTCTATGGGGTCATCCCGTGTACAGTACACTACCCGAGGGCGCCCTCCCGGACGTGAATGTGAATGAATGGTTCGCTCACAGACACTACAAACAACAGGAGGATTTCTTCCTACCCGACAAATGGACGTAAACAGCGATTCGCGTAGAAATCTATTAATTAATTTAGTCTTTAGTTATTGTTTGAAAATATCGCTTAAATTTAGTGATTAATTAAATCTGATTAATATTCTGTATATTTATGTCAATTGATATTCAATTGATATACGAGTTTGAGTTGTTTGTAATTAAAGTAGGCTTTAATCGAAAAAACAAAACAATTTTTTATTTATTGAAATCAATAATTATTGTCAATATTTACGGTTTAATTCAATGTTTAAACAATTACTGTACAAAACAAACTTCAAATTAATATCAATAATGAATTTGAAGTGCAGTGCATATGAGTTGTTATGAGTGGTGAACGAGAAGTTGGTGTAAATACTTGACATGAATGTGCGATACTTTGTTATTCATTACATCATGAATGCGATCACACTTTTTCTGTTTCCCTGACATTCAACTCATTTACTGATAATATCTATTAATTCACACAAATCTCAGTAAATCACTGAAAAAAAAACAATATCTAAAATGTCTGTTCCGTCAACTGTTGGCTCCGAAGTGCTGAATGGAAGAGACGGGAGTCCAGCGATTGCTAATGATAAATATCACCGCGATTTCTATGATTTGGGCAAAAATGTGCTGAGACTCGGCATTTGTTTATTAGTGGTGACAGTTGTGACAAAGTTGGCGTTCGGCGCCATTCCAACCGTCCTATTGATAGTTCTTTGTGTCATTAGTTCCGTGTTTATAATCTTCGGTATAATTCGTATCACTTGTTGGAGAACTGCTGTAAAGGGACGCCAAAGAGGCTCTTCAGAGGAGTCGCCGCACATTTCAACCATTTCTAACTTCAGGGCATTTATTCGGGACAACACTCGACAGCAAACATGTGACACCAATTTGGACACAAGAGTCCATCGGGAGGTCAGACCTGTTGTGAACACACCTGTATTGCCACCCAGTTATGAACCGCCGCCCAGTTATGACCAAATTCACACGCATTCGGCAACTGATGCCAAAAGTCAATAATTTTTACAATACATGGTGTAATTAAATATTTATACAGTATTTCCATTTGATATATAAATACAGAAATTGTTAATTTTTTTTGTTTAATTTATTATTTAAATGATTTAAATTTTTATTTATATAATATAATTTATTATCCATTTTACTGTATTATTAAGTTATAAATTAATCTAAAAAACTTCACAACTATATTGGTTTCTATGGCTTTTTAATGACACCGATTTTGTATTGAGTTTTAAGTTTGTCCGCATTGTCTGAATGAGTGCCGACGAAAGCATTGGTGGCGTCCTTTCCGGCGAAGTTCATAATGGGATCACAACCTCCCGGATGTTTGGCCACAAACTTTGTCACATCAAACACTTCGCCACTTATTATTATCCAAAGCGAATCTTTAGTCTTGTGTTTCGCCACTTCATCGATGGTATAACTCTTCGCCGACTTATTATTACTCATTTTAAACGTCAGTTACATTTAAATATTGGTTTAATTGTCGGAAAACAACTTCACGTGAAATAAAAATCATTTTGTTATTAAAATAATTGATTTCGTTTATTATATTTTGTTTATCGTTTCTAAAGGTTTGTAATAATTTACAAACTTTGTATAATTAAATTAAAATCAATTTAAAAACTTTGATACAATAATTTTAATGTAATGAATCATTACTAATGATGTTCAGAGGATTGCAAATACTTTAATTTTGTATACCATTAAAAATATCTTGTTATTTTAATTTCTATTTCTTGCAAAAGTTTGAAGTTTTGATAAAGTTTTTTGTTTTTTATGCATAGAATTTTAATATAAATTTAACCTATGGTAAAATAAGTAATTATTTCATTGCATAACAAATTCATACATATATTTTATTATTGCATAAACAAAGTTAACGTTAAAATATTATACAGTAATAATACATTTAAAAAATAAATGAGACAACTTATACAAAATGTTTAAATACTCATAACTTGATCACTCTTTTCGTGACCATTTGAAAAGCCATTGGATTCAACACTTTTGCTCCACACAGAAGTCGGTTCAATCAATGTCTTCACTGCCTATAAGATTAAAATACAGAAAACAATGTTTAAAACTATGAAATGAAACATTAATTATTTTGAATACCAATTTAAATGAAAGTTTTTCAGCAAACATTTTATATAAGATTTGATACAAAGCTATGCCCGGAATGAATATTATTGATGAAACACATAATAGCCAACCAATCACTTCAGAATAGACGGGGTATTCATAATTCCCATAAGTCGTCGGCAATTTGTATACAAATTGTAGGATCAAAAGCACCTAAAATTGTTATAAACATGATTAGACAAGCAGACATTAATACCTTAATGAAAAACTCACAGCAATAACAATCGGACAGAAATATTGATACATATATTTCCAATATTGCTTTGGGAATGGATAGGAACCCAACATCTCTTTCATTCTCTCCAAGTATTTATTCATTCCAAAAACCCACGCAATTGTCATCACTTCAAAAAATGCTATAAAGAGCGCAGAATATGGCACACAATAGCTATCCATTAATTGCAGAATATAGATACCAGCCTTTAAATTATCACATTTATTAACATATTGGTTAAATCAAATATAAATATGATATGTATTAACACATACACTCGTGCACATGAAAAGACCGGCCAAAAACATAACCACACAAACACAGGCCAAAACCCAAACTTTTCTGTGCCTGAGTTTGTGCGGCCACTGATCAACAATTGTCATAACAATGGCTTCAATGAGAGTCATTTCACTCCCAAATCCCAGGATTAATATCATTAAAAAGAATAGACACGACCAAAGAGGTGCCACCGGAAGCATTGATAGAGCCGAGGGATACACTATAAATGCCAGTCCAACACCTGTTTACAAACATATAGCATGGTACTATGTTATTTATTGTGGTTATCTATTTTATACAATACCCTGGTCAGCCACTTCATCGATATTTTTATTTAAATCTTTGGCCATAAATCCAATGACACTAAATATCGCGAACCCTATTAATTAATATACAGTATAGTATTTATACTTAAATATAACATTCATTTCGGTAAATATAATCTTATAAAACCTGCATAAATACTCGTCAGTGAATTACAAACAGCGATTGTCAACGAATCTCTTGAATGAATCATTAAAAATAATATATTTTTATAAAATAATTGCAATTTTTATGTAAATGTTATCATAATTACCGAAGAAAGTTATTTTTAAATGGATTATAACTGGAGAGAGTAATCACTCCACCCATACATATGGATAGGGAAAAAAATATTTGAGAGGCCGCCTGCGACCAGACCTTTATATTTGCCAACTTTTCCCATTCGGGGGTCACATAGTATTTGATGCCATCCAACGCCCCATCGAGAGAGGCGCCCCTCCCTAACAGTATTGTGATCATAATGTATGGGAAAATAGCCGTAAAATAAGCCACTTTTCCCAATCCTTTCACTCCTCGGGAAATACTTAAAAACATTAGAAGCCAAGCGATGGCCAGACATATAACCAAAGGGTAGTTCAATGTAACCATATTTTCAATTCCGTTACTCATATTCAACACTTTGTTACTATTTTATACAAAATCGACAATAAATATAAATTTATATGTATTTAAAATGTATTCAAAATTATTTGTAAAATAATTAAAAATAAAATTAACTGAAAAAATTCGTCGCTCGGACTCTTCAATGTGCGGTTTGGGTAATTATCATCTTGCTTTAATAAATGACAATCTGTTTCCAACATTCAATTATTACAATTCAATCATATATTTTTGAAATAAAAGTGCAAAAATGAAATTTATATATACCGGCAGTATTCCACTCGTTATCACACGTACTCCAGGGCACACCCGGCAGAGCGGTGAATGTGGCGTATATGAAATAAATAGCCCATGCCACTATTATGTTGTAGTATATGCCAACGTATGTATTCATTACAAACCTTTATTTTTTTTATTTAAAAAATGTTATTTTTATTGAATATTTTTGGCAAAACATTACAATAATCAATACATTGCAACTCCGATTCCTTTAAACATTGGCGATATTTTCCACACTATGTAAAAATTATTGCTTAAATCAATGATTTTTGTACCGTTTTAAACATACCAGTCATCGGACCCTCGCTTGAGTACTGACCCATCGATGACTCCAATACAAAAAAGGAGAAACCAATTAATGCTAGACTCAAGAGATATGGTATGAAGAATGAGCCTAAAAATGACAATAAAATTAGTTTTATAAAATATATTATGTGCTCATATAATATTCATTTAGGATACAAACCTCCACCGTTTGAATAACACAAATACGGGAATCTATCAAAAAATTAATGTATCAAATATGCCGTAAAATAAGTTTTGTTTCAATACAAACCGCCAGACATTACCCAAACCCACGGCATAACTGAGTGAAGTTAAGAAGTATTCAAATTTGTTTGTAAACTTTTCGCGACTAACTTCTGTTTCAGTCATCTTCAAAATGTTTACTTTTTTGCATTCACACAAAATTTTTAATTAAATTACAATACATTTGATCACTGGAACAGAATATGGTTTGATATTGGTTAATTGGTTATTATTGTTAGTTTATTTACTCATATAGTTTATAAATTACAAACGCATTGGAAATCAGCTTTTATTGTATGCATTACGTGAATCAATAAATTCAATTCAATTCAAATTAATATTAAACAACTTTCACAAATTGAGATGAAAATACCTGCAATCATTTTGTAATACAAATGTTTAAAGTATTAGAATTTCAAACATAATATTTATACAATTTTATATATGTGTTAAAAATATAATAAATTTCTAAGAATAGTAATATAAAACATAATTATATGCCATAAAGTTTATGAATTTGTTTCTTTATAAATTCCGTTTAAATAACTTACACACAAACCTCCGGAATAAAAATCATTGAGACAATGATATTACAAGTTGTTAGATCTAGACTTTAATAAATGTATTGAATTTTAAAAATAGTTGTATTTGTAAAAACGCTTGATGGTAAATTTGGTTAAATTTACTGGCTTTAATTGTATTAAAAAGTATAAGTTTATACATTAATGTATGTATTTACAAACTCCATGAATGAACTAAAGTGCATACAGTTATCTGAGAACTTAAATCAATGACTTACAATACAATTATTCTAATTAAATGGACTTTTAATTAGGTAAATAAAACTTT